GGGGGGGGGGGGGGAGGTGGCTTGACCTACATATATTTATATATCAACGCCATATTCTATTTGTAATCTTTAAGCGTTCCTACTTCCGTGTTTTCATAATATTCAACATGGGGATACAGGTAGGCCAATAATTTGAAAATTCCTTAAATTTCAGTTAGTAGTTTGATAATTTCCCAATAATTGTTACGAAATTAATATCAGTGATATAGTGTAAACTAAATAATATTAGCAAGTCAAAATGATCAAAATTAAATTAGGACAGGGTCAGGGTAGCTAGATAATAATACTAATACTAATACTTACTAACATATTCATATATTCTTTCGAGTTTAAATGTAAAATTAGCAGTTAGCCTAAGTCTAAGTACTATTTATTATTTTATACCAATAAAAAATAATAATTTAAATCGCTGCTCAATGCAAAATTCTGGGACTGATCTGACAGACTTGAGACTAAGTAATAGGCCTATTTAATTAGTTAGTAGTACCAGTACCTACAGCATATCTAATATCTAGTCTAGAGTAGTAGTTAGTGAGTAGTAGTACCTTGCTCAGTTGTGATTTTCGAAGTACATATAGTGGTACATGTAGTAATGTATGTATTATACTAAATGTAAGTCCTTACAATTATAACTTATAATTTATAAGGCTATACTTACAATTACTGACCTTGCCTTATTCCAATTCCAAGTTATACTCATACTCTCATACTCCTAGTCCTAGTTCATACTGACTGGTATATTATTTATACTATACTTATACTAATCAGTATAAATTATAAACTAAAGTTAAAGAATATAAAAATTTGTTTCCACAGAACTTTATTCTAGTCTTTATGAATTTTGTTCAACTTAACTTACACTTACACATACAAAAAAAAATACTTACATTATAAAATTAAAATATATTTATAAAATGTTGTTTTTTTTCCTTTTTTAGGGTAAGTGTGGGTATTAGTAAATATAAGAACTGGTGAAAATGTAATCTTAAATTTTTTTTTTAAATAATTTTTTACCATTATTTAATTTTGAACTAACTTTCGTGTTGATCCAAAAATTCTGTATTATTTGCACTTTCTCAAGAACTTATGAGCATATTGTGAAGTGGCAGTTGTGAGTATGGGTATTCATATGTAATTATTGGCACCAAATATTATTTTTTATTGTTCGCTGACAGCTTGTCATTGTGTGTCTTGTGTAGTAGATTAGTTAATGAACAATTTTCCAGCCTTAGGACTTGTGATTAATTGTGAAGCATTTTATGGTAATTGTGAAATTGTGTTTATAGTCTATCTTTGGTATATATTTGTTTGGCAGTTGATGAGAGACCTTTGTGGATGAAGTTTATACTAACTTCTTCACTTCTACTTATAGCAAGCTGCGTTATGCATGTGTTTGATTCATTGTACAACCTAATATGTATGTTTCTGGATTTAAGTTTACTTTGCTATTGGAAAGGGGAATTGTTTCCTGCTCGGTGTGATTTTGACGTATGAACATGTTAAAGAATTAGATGAAAGATGAGTTAACGAGGTCCATTGTTCTTTGGATATTATATAGGGTGGACAGAAATTGCTGTGATTTTGGGGAGGGAATTGTAAGCGCATAGGGTAAGGTTAATAGATTCTCGCATCTTTTAGATTGGGGGATGTTTCTTTCCAAAATATTATGTCTCAGGCCTTCCAGACCTCGCTTGATAATTTTGGTGTTAAGGGCGGAAGTTCCTAATTGACCGGAAATGAGAGGGGTGGGGATGGGTTAATAGCTAGCATTCCTAGACCACCTAGGGAGGTAGAGAAATGTATATCAGATAGAACTCTTTGTGGCTTAGGGTGAGTCAGAGATTTGTGGGCAGTCATGTGGTAGATGGGGTACTAGATGTAGTCAAGGATAGAACCAGTGATAGTCAAGTGTTAGAGTTAGGAAAGAAACGTACTAAATTTTTTATATTATATTCATCAATACATCTTTTATCTATAACTTTTGCTGAGGAGTTTCTTGATCATTCGTTAGTGTTCTGTGTTTTCTTTGTTGTACTTCTGAACGCCTGCACTAGTGAACCATCACAGAGAGGAACAGCCCCATACCAGTCACAACAACACCAATACCATTTGGTACTTGACCATAAATATGTTTCATACCTCACAATACCATTACATCTGTGACAAACATGCAGCACATTTTTGCACATTCCAGAACCGATGTGTTAGGCACTTTATCCTGCCATTGGATGTGCAGAATGGGCTGCAGTCATCTATGGTGGAAGCTTTTGAGTTTCTGCCTGTATATTATTAAAGTTTAAGGTATTGGCCTAGGCATTGGTTTCACTTTATAATCAGATAATATTAAATCAATAATAGGTGGCTAATTATTATGAACAATATACAGTACTTGTAAATGAAAATATGATTAACATTTGTAGATCTTACTATATGCCTTACCTAAATCTTTTGATAAATGTAGTTGAAATGTAATAAATATTGATTTGGCTTAAACAAATGAGAGTAAATAGGCGTAGTAATTTCTTAATGATAGTATAATTATTTATATTTATCTTGGTGCTCTGATTGTTTATAATGTTGTATTGTGCCTCTCATGTTTTGAATTCTTGTTTTTATCATTCACAGGCACCTGAAAAACGGTTTATTATCCTTGCCCTGTCACTTGGTTGCGCGTATGTGGCTACAATATTTGTTGTTATTGGACTCTGTACAAATTACTGGATTGAGATTAGGAACCGCAATCTCTACAGAGAGGATGTTGTAGCCCATTTTGGACTTCAGAGAACATGCTGGTCAAGTAGTGACCGTTGCACAAATTCTGGAACTGATTATGATAGGACTAGTGAGTATTTTTCAAACTGAATATTTTAGTTAAATGTTAAATGTGTACACGCTAAAATGGCCAGATTTGTTGTTGAAACTGAAACGCTAGCACCAGAGTTTGGTAACTCAAGATGCCAATGGAACACTGCCCTATTAAGTCCTACTTTAACAGGCAAGACCACAACAGGGACCCAACCTGCTGGCATTGCCCACTGGCCACAAAAACGGTTGAACAATTTTTGGCTTCATGCCCAAACTTAAAAATTGCTGTGGCCAAGGAAGCAGGTGTGTCCTATGTTAATAAAAGGTCTATGGTTGGTGGAATGTGTTGCCAATGCATTAGTTGGGACCATAAAGAGCGAGAGCTCAGTCCCCAACAGAAGAAGTTGAATTAGTATTAGTTAAATGTTACAGTTTTAAGTAAGTGTATTATGGTTTCTCATAAGATTGATAATTTCTAGTGGATAATTGAAAAGATTTAGACAACTACCATTACAATTCTAGTCAATTAAGATTTGGGACACAATGTAAAAACTTAAGAAAGATTCAATAAAGAATACTAAACATGCAATGCTACAGTTACAATTTGACCTACTCGCTGACACACTGGTATAAGTGTAAGACATCTTTTGAAACTGAGCAGGCTCAATACATACCGTGACAAGTCAAGCTCAAAGTAAACAACTCTAAGACAGTATACTCAGTCTTCAATAAATGCCACAAGGTAGCCAAACAGAACTTTGCACTATCCTTACGAAGCATCATACTTCAAAAAGAAGACAACATAAGTTATCTAGGTTTCCAATTGTATAAAAACTGAATCTAAAAAGACCACAAGACAGCTAAACCTAGTAAAATGGCTTGCTGATGGTAGTGATAAGACCACACTATGCCAGTTGTACTTAGGATATGTGTGATCAGTGAGTGAATACTGCTTGTAGTTAATATCAACTTGCAGTTTAACAGTCTAGGATTTAAAAAAAAATCAGCCCTGAAATGTAAGAAGAGAGGTAGCAGTTATCAAGAAGGTACAGAAGACAAGACAAAAGATGCCCAAATAGACAAATATTTGAACCAGGTGGACCACATCAGTGATCAGTACTAGATGTGGCCTCTGAATTGAAGAGAAACGCCACCTACCAACAGATGGAGAAGATTCACAAACTATACCTTAAGAATTAACAAACACAAATGGCTTTCATCAAGACTAAGCTCATTGAAAAGAATAGAAATGAAAAGTATGGAATCATTACATATAATCATAGCTGCATGATAAAAAAGCATAGCATCCTACCCAGAGGAAATTATCCAAATATATAAAATTATGGGTCAGCTGTCAAAGGAGCCCTACATGCAGGTTATGGTGTAAAAAAAAGAGTAGTCTGACTGATCATGTGATGAACTTCAACCCCTGTAGGGTTTTCTGCAGTAATTATGAAGCAGTAGCCACTGTCATTAAATCAGCACAACATCACCTGTCCCTAATTTTCACGGCTTACCCCATCATCATCAAGCAAAGAAATGTCCTTATCTTCTCCTATTACAAATCAATACCCCAGGCAGCTGAGCACCAAGACCACATACTACAGCACCGGTAAAATCACTACTTCTGAAACTAACTTTACAATGGATACAGGAAACAACAACATACATGGAAATGAGAGCAGAGAAATTAGCAAAACAGGGAGCATTCATGAATAGCCAAACATACATAACGCAGCCCAGCCCTCTTTTAATAACTACATGACTCAACACTGCCAAACATACCTACATCACTCAACACTGCCAAACATACCTACATCACTCAACACTGCCAAACATACCAACATCACTCAACACTGCCAAATAGATTATCTGAGCCAACAAAAAAGAAGATTGGTCATATTGGAGAGCTATGGGATCAATAAATTTCCTCCAAAGGCACAAACAGGTCATAATTTTTTGCCTGTGCACATGACATACAACTTGATTAATTCTTAACTTCTCAAAAGTAGATAAAACACCAATATGCTTGCTGCACATACATCCAAATGAGATGGTAACATATCACTGCCCAGCACTCCATGACATCATAACGGCAGACCATAAATACCAGAATTCTTTGACACTCTACATACAAACAACGAACAGCTGCGGAGAGTGTAAATATTTCACCATGGCCTTGGGCTGAGGGGAACATATCCAAGTGTTTGCTGGATTGGGATGATGATGATGACATTTTAAAATTCAAGACTTGACTTCAAATTACGATCAGTACTTTGTGATACCATTGGGATAAAACTGGTGACTTATTATGATTTCAAGTAATATTTAACAATTTGCTTTCCTCCTCCAGACACAAATCCAGCTGCTCAAGGGATATTGATCACAGGTGGTTTCATCACTGTTGTTGGAGCCTTGCTCGCTCTGACAAATCTTTATCTAGACAGACTGGGTCAATCCAGGGGAGTTTTTTCTGCAGCAGCTGCTGCAGTTATTTGTTTGGGAGGTAAGATTAGTAAGAAAGCATCTACTTTTTCAGGGGATCTTAAATCTTTGGTAGTTCCACACTCCTCGCTTATTTTTTTTTTTTCATCCAGTATAAATAAATTTTAATCAAATAAAAATGAAATCAATTAATGAAACAAATGATAAATAATCAAATAAACAAACATGAAATGTCCCTCTATAAATAATGGGAAAACAATATTCACCACAAACACATTTGCTGCTGCAAAGAAACATGATTTTTGTGGGTTTCTTGCACCCCCTGGCACTGGCCCCACACCCCCTGGCAGTGCCTCCCTCATCCCCCTGGGGATTAAGAACCATGACTTTAATTTAAAAGAAGTTATAAAACACCAAAGATGGTTGTGTTGTTATAAAGTCCTGAGTGATTAAGATGATGTCTACATTATTGAAAGTTAAAAATATGGAATTAATTGTCTTTGCACTGAGGGCAAAGAAATTATATTATTTTGCAGAATGGGTTTAACAATACAACACCAAAAAAGGTTCAGATCCTTATACACATCAAACAAGTTCAACGTTTTAAATATTTTCAGGAGCTTTTCTTCTGGTGGGCATTGTGATATATGGAGTTAAAGTGGAGGTTCAGACCGAATATCTCAATGTTGGACATGTCCAGTATAAGGGCTACTCTTTCGGCCTGGTGACTACTGCAGCTATTTTGATGTTTATTTCAGCAGCTTTAAATGCATGGTCAGGGTGCTCAAAAGCCTCACCAAGATTTAATCAATAATTACATATCAGTTACAGATGATGTTTAAAAATAAGGATCTAAATTGATTCAGTTTAATTTGTTTGCTTGGTTGTGAAATGTTTTTTAACCATGAAAGTTTGAAAGTTCTTGCAGTTTGTAGCAGGATGAGAAATAAGAGTGTTGGGGAAATATTCAAATTTTTCAAATCAATTTTTAAATCCTATTCCCTTTTCCACAAATCACTAAATGTGAATACACATTTATGATTTTATAAAACTTGTTTTCATGATGAGGATAGAGTTATTGCTATTTTGCTTTAAATATTCAATTCCTTGGAATGAAAATGCATGTCTTTGATCTGCAATGTAAATATTTGAGGTTTCAATGTAAAAATAACTTTATTTTAGGCAACGATACTTTTCTGAGATAAACTTGAATTATTTATTTTTAACACAAAATGTCATACGGTACGTAATTTGTTTTACGAAATTTGAAATATATGTAGGTATAATTTTTTTAATTTGGCAGCATGAATTATTTTTATATCACATGTTGGTTGTTTTTAATTTCAGTAAGTACTTTTTTTTTTTTCTGAAATCAGACAATGTAAAGAGTAAAATAATTTTAAAAATCTTTTTTTAAAAATGATTATTCAAAAATATTTTAGTTTTTCCTCATGGCCATGTTTTTATTATATTATTGAAGTTATTGTTATTCACATTCCATTTAAATGTAATTACATATATTTTTAAATGTCTTAAATGTTTAAAGTAAATAGCTTCTTGTTCTGGTTTCTGAGCGTAGTATTTTTTACCTTATTTATTTTTTAAGCTTGTTAAAAGTTTGGACTTTTTAGGAAAAGCCTCAATGATTTTTATTTAAGTGCATAATTATATTTTATAATTACTGTATAAATTTTACATTCCAGTTACAGATTATACATCCTATTTTTGTGAATAAAATTTTGATATTCATTACTTTTTATGTGTTTATAGTTTTATTGAGCTTGTCTTGTCCTTAAAGTAACTTACTCTCAGCTTTACATTCTTAAATGTTTTCTTAAATGTTTCTAAGCATGGGTATTTTTTTTTAAATTGCCAAATTAAACAAGTGATTTTGTAAAATTTAATTTTTTTTTTTTTAAAATTTACTTCATCTATTCAATTTAACTTAAATATTTAGTTAGTGGTTTACATCTACAATTTAGGTGGTTTTTGGGTCCAATCTAAATCCATATTCACAATCATCAACTTTAAATGTGGCATCAAGTAGCAACCCCAATGAGGATTTCATACCCAAGGCAAAATGATCAGTTCACCTTTTAAAATTATTACCTTTCTCTGACAAAGCCAATGCACTTATAATTATAACCCATTATACATTGCCTGAGATAATAGTTTTTTTGCCTGGGTTTCTTTTTTGTCTACTATAACCACTAAGGAATGTTTTCTGTTGAGGTTTCGTTTGTTCTAACATCAAGCTTTAATTGTAGTAGGGTGGTTTTATAAATATTTCTACAGAAAGGTAATGGGATTTTCCCCGTGACTTTTGAAAATAACAATATTATATCTAATTTCCAATTCCAAAGATAATTTCAATTTCAGAAAATATATTACTGTGAATATTACTATTATTACTAAATCAAATGAAACATGGCAGTGGCAATTATATGAAAATATAAGATATTCAAAATAAAGGCCTTTTCATATATTCAACACACTAATGTTTAATTTGGTGATTTTGTACGTGAGGCAAATGAAAAGTTCCGGATATCAAGTTTGCAGAGACACCGTTTTTTCGCACGCGAGTCCTAACATGTCAGCAGTTAATTCAACTTCAGTAAATAATTAACCAAATTTAAGTAAAAAATAGCATAAGTAACTTAGAAATTGAAAAAAAAATATTATTACATAAATGGGTTAGTTAAAATTTAAATTACTTATAAATACGTAATAAATGTTTTACTCAAAATAGTGCGTGACAGTCGTTGACAGGCACCGTTCGATTTGTTTAAAAATGGCTACCATCCTTCTTAAATTTAAATAATGTCTAAATTTGTTTTTTTGACTGTGATACTTTGTGAAAATCGTATTGTTGCTTGAGCGAAAAATAATTTGGGAAATATTTTGTTAGGATATTTGGACTGTATCTTTTCCCTTAAATTTACGTTCTCCGTGAAATAGGCTTAGTAGGATAACTTTTAAAAATATTCTACACTTATTAATTAAATTAATATTATTATTACTAATATTATTTATATTAGACTAGTATTATTAGTCTTACTAAGACTTAACTCTTAACTTAAGACTTAAGTACATTACTTAAATTAAGTTTTAAGCTACCGTATCATCAGTTTCAGGTCATTTATCATAATCAGATTTTGCAAGACTGTAGACTATAGTAACAGTATAGTATTAATATTAGTATAGTATACTTAGTCTTTTATATCAATAAATCAATATCATATATCAGTCTCAGAAAATTATCATTGAATTTTGAAGCCAGTAATAGCAGTTGAAATTTAGAAATGATTGTGATGGTCATGATTTTTTTTTTTTACCCATTTAACTTTTGCTACAGCATCAGTGCCACCAGCCAAAGGTAATTTTTACAATTACAGGATCAGCAATTTTTACTTGAACAACAGTTTTTACCCATTAATGAATTTAAGTTATGTGGCAGTGTATGCTCCACTATTATTACAAAACCATGTTTGGCGCCTAATGAGGTGTGGATTTTGACCTCGGGGTTAGTGTATCCTAGCAGACAAGGCCTGTTAGCAACCGCATAGAAAACTTAAATTTAAATATGGGAAAACCACTAGGTGTGCTTTTGGTTGAAGTTTAATTATTTATTTCTCGGGAACCCTAGCGCATTAAGTTATCAATTATATAGTTGGAAAGGGGATTTTATTTCCTATAACTTGTTTTATTTACAAGTCTACTTCTTTAGTAGGTATTTTAATATTCAGCAATTACAGGAGTTTTCACATTCATCCATGGTGGTCTCTACCCGTTTTATTTAAATATCTAAAAAAAACATGTAACTTATAAAAATATTAAAATGTATCTTAGATAGCTGAGACTAAACTGAAAAGGACACATTTAAGTCTTTAGGGGGTTTGGTCCGGAATGTTAATTTTATTTGGGATGGAGTTGCTAGGGGATTATTAATTTATCACAGGATTTGTGCCAGATGACAAGTAAGAGATTGTCTCAATTTTCTTGTGACATAGATGCTCTCTGGTATGTCCGCACCCCTTTGTCTTATTAAAAGATTGCACTAATGAGTTTTTGATTTCGAAGTTTCAAACGTATCTCTAAAGTACGCCGGTGTCAGAGTTCAGTGTGGCCTATTTGAACATTTTATATTGTCTTTTTCTTAAGGCTTTTTCTACATAGTAGACTTTTTCTTTAGCCCTTTTTCTTCAGCATTTGTCTCTAGTGTGCAAATAAAGCTATAGTCCTCTAGACCTGAATTTCTTCATTGTTTATTAGTAATTAACTGTCAGCCTTGGTCCACCACCACCCAACATCACACTACTACAGTTTTTGGTGCGTTACAAGCAGGGTTTTAAAAGTGTGTCACACACACACAAACACCACCCTCCAGTAGCCATCACCACACTGCTACAGTTATATTTGGCCTATAACAATAATTTAATTTTTTTTTAATTTTTAGTAATACCACTAAGAAAATTTTGGAGATAAGATAGTTTTTAAAAATAAAATAATTTTATATTTATGATAAAGTCCTTAGCCTTAGTAAGTAGGCCAAAGCTAAACCTTTCTCTAGAACAGTGGTTCCCAACCTTTTTGAATTGCAGAGCCCATTTCAAAGTCAATTTAGATGGAGGACCCACTTAGGTTTACCCTTATGTCTTACAAGTTAAAAGTATTCAGGAGCTACCAGGAATGGCTGCAGAGCCCCTGAGAAATGCAGGTTAGGAGCCACTGATCTAGAATATAGATTATTGTGAATCATGTATGAAAAAGGCTTATATAACTATATAACCTTGTATACTTCTGGATGCACTAGTGCTAAGTAGCTTACTGCTAATTAATAGCAGTAAATAGGTTGCTTTTATAACTTGTAAAAACTTAATTTATGTTAATTTATAAGTACTTTATGGTTAAGGCTAGGCATAACTTTTAGAAGTATGCTTCCAGATAAGTATCAGTAGGCTATCAGTAGGTTATGTTGCATAATAAAAGCAGATTCCAGTAGCTTTGTTTTGATAAATATTCAAGATTATTTTCACTCATTCAAATTTATACTGACAAATGTCCACTTACTCCTAACCATTAAATAATTGCCCCTCTGTTCCCTATTGCACACAATCAGTCTAAACCTCTTGGTAAACACCTAGACATTCATCACTTGCTTCTCCCATTTCATTTTTTAACCTCAGCCTTCTTTCTATATCATTCATTCATTTGTACCTTAGGAAAAGGACTTAAATATATAACAATTTTTTTTTAAATTCTGCATATATTCTCACCCCCCACCCTCTCTAACTTTTCTAGTTTTGTTTGCATATTCAAGGGCCTCTAAATAGGGTTAAAAAGGTCATTAGATGAATCATTCTTATAATTGTTCCAGCTTAAAGGCCATACTAGCCCATTATTTCACAAATAATGGATAAAGTCCCACCCCACCAATCAATATAACCCGCACAAACAATAGGTGAAAAATTGCTGACAGTCGTTTAGACAGGTCTTAGGAGTGTCAGTCTATTTAACTTCCAGAGCATTGTTAGTACTGTGATCTGTTAAGTTTAAACAAGATTAAGTAATTATCTTATATGACTATCAATATGACATGTTGATAGTCAAATATGTTTCTTGATTTGATATGAAACACAGTGTTATTATATATTTCCTGGAATTTTGATTTTAAACAAATTATTTTCAAGTAATAAAAGAGGGAATAAAATGCTCCTGCTTTCTATTTTCCATTTAACCTGTTATCACATATGACATTAAACTGTTCAAAAGAAAGGTCTTGTAGAACTTACAACTCAACATTGTACAGTTAGTGATTAACTTGCAATGTTGTTTCTGCTTAAAGTGGATTAAAATAGTTTGTGATGTATTAGTATTATCAGTTAAATTTAATTAAACCAGTTTAAGACAATCCGGTTGTGTAAATTATTTTCACAACAGACATAATATGATTTTTTAAACAACAGATAGAAGTTTATTCTTACTACATTATGCTGTACTTTTTAATATTCTTATGTCTTTGATTTAATGCAGATATGCAAAAGAACATTTTCCAGCAGGTTAAATAAAGTGCTCAATATTAATGGAAAAAATATGAACTAAGTCTTTTGGAATGGTGAGTGCTGCCCTTTTTCCTTCCATATTTGAAAAAGTTGCTTATAAACATTGGTCCAAACTAAAAAATTATTTTTTTTTCTAAAAAGGTGAATTTTGTTTAAATTTTTTTGTTTGTGTTGAATTGAAAAAGAATACCTCTATTAACAATGCAATATATAATAAACATCACTCAATCAAACAAACAGAAATGTTTTTAAAAACTTGAGCAAGTAGAATAGATCTTTAAATTGAATATTATAGTTTGATTGAATTTTTATTTTTTCTGTAGTATGCCTAATGATAATATAAATAAATGCAAATATGTTGTTCATGTGTAAAAAAAATAATAATATAAATGTATCCTCTGCATTTTTACTAAATCTTTGCATGACATATTTCTTAATGTAACTCACAGACAGACTTTGAATGTAAAAAAAACAACTATTAACTGTTCCATTAATTATTATTTTGTTAATAATTATTTATCAGGAGAGTCCGAGAGATGTTCATATTCAGATAACCCACAAACTCACAGAGGATGGCCTGAACCCAGCCTCAAATGACCTTGAAAAGTTACTGTTCCTCTGGAAGCTGTACCAGCATGCTCAGGTATTAAATACCTTGGGAGTAAACCGTAAATGACGTTACACGTTTTGGAGTGGGGGTGTGGTCATTAATTTGTGAGGATCTAATTGTGTGATAAATTTGTGAAAGTGGGGGAAGGGGTCCAGAATCTGCCAAAAAGCATGACATCATTTATGGATGGCCCCTTTGCACAGATGGTATTTGAATACTTTTGTAATGAAATTATAATTTATTATATTAACTTTATATAGGCAATGAGATGGTATAGATGCCTTTTGATTACTTTTGTATAGGTGTGGAGATTTTGTTTAAAAATTAAATACATAAATATATGCATAGGGAAGATATTATTTAAATACAATTTTAGAGACATGGAGATGGTATACATAAGTAAATGCATATAAATGATTTTCTAATGCTAAGTCTCTAGAATTTGAGGTATAAAACTTACATAAGAAAAAAGAACTAATAGTGATATAGCATTAAAAATTTTCATTCTGTTTGACTTTCAGTATGTTTAGCAGTAATTTGTCATACTGAGTCTATTCAAATGTTTCAAACTTGAGTGCTGAACTTTAAAGATGTATGCATCAGTTTTAAGAATATTTACTGGTTCTTTTAACAATAAACTAAGTAACCTATGCCCTAACCATACAAATAATAATTACAGCGATAACAGTCATACAAGAAAATTGTTGAACACAGTGTTCTCCTTTCAAAATAGGTTGATGCTAAAATGTGGCCTAATAAGCTTCCAGAATTTCTTAATTCATGTGATACAGGATGATCTTGTACAAGCACGGACATCTGAAAATAGACTTAAGGATGCTCAGGCAGCTGAGATGAAAGAGGTTGAGAGCTATGTTGAGCACATCCGTCAACTGTCTGATGAGAGGGAGTCTTTGATACAAGAGCTGGAGTCAGAGAATGAGGTTTTGAAAGCTCAGATTGTTAGCATGGGACAAGAGGGCAAAGGTGAGGGTCATTGATAAATTCTCTTTGAGGTTTTCTATATGTAAGAATATTTAAGAACAGTTTTTAAAATTATATTCCATAAGTAAGTTTGATCACATAAATTATTAATAAAATGTATTTTAATTTTCATTAATTTCCAAATCTGGCCTTTTTCTTACATGATAGATTGATACTGTCACTCATTTCCTCCACTATTTTCTTTTGGGTTTGAAAAGTTCAGAATGAAATTTCTGATGTCATAAGATAAGAAGGGATAAGATTCTTTTATCGATCAAAAACAGATGGAAATTTTGCTTTTATTACATTGTACATATTTATTTTCAGCACATAGATACATATCCTTACCAAGAAAACATTTCTAAACTAGAATAATTTAAACAAAAGACATCTAAAATATTTATTAAACGCAAAAATCAGACATGGAGACTTTAAAATGTAGCTTCCCCTAATAAGAATTAATTTTTGTGATGAGACTTAAATCCATACCTGTTTACCCTCAAACTCTTAAAATCGTACAATATCATCACAAAATCATTCAATACATTATCTTAATATTGAAAAATAAACGTACAGTATATATAATGTATACACCTCAAAATCATACATCGTACGCCAAAATCGTAAGAGTAAACAGGTCTGTAAATCTTATTAGACTCAGAAAATACAATCGCCTTTACTTGACCTGAGTGCAGGCTTACGCCAGCTAATATCACAAAAATTTATTTTCTAGATCATCATTTATGTTCAGAGCTGTTTATTTTCACCAGCAGTGGGTGGCCAGCCAGAAGTTGCTGAGATGCTGACCAAGCAAGGCCTGGCAGAACTGGCCAAATCTACACCCAGTGAGCAAATAGCCTACCTTCTTGTGGAGAGAGCCCGCCTCCTCGAGGAGCTGGAAGAACGCCAAAGTGGCTCCAATAATCCAAATTCTAGCATTCATGTGGAAGGGCGGAGCTTGGAGACAGAGCTCAAGGAGACTCTTGAGCAGGTGATTCTGTCAACTCCTGTAAACTTCACATCAGACTAAATTTGAAAATTAATTTTTTTTTTTTTTTTTTTTTTTTTTTGCAAAAAAACAAGATTCTTTAGTGAATTTGTTTGTTTCTTTTCTATTGCTTTGAATAAAGAATGGAAGACAAAAACACAATAGCTGAACTACTCTCAGATTTTAACAGAGTTTAAACAGATTTTTTAAACCATCTTTTTTAAAAGACTTTTTTTTAAACAAACTTTTTTAACAGACAGCTTTTGTGTTTACATGATGTCACACATTTATTTTATATAAATAAACCCAATGAAAGCTGTTTTACTTCATCCACGAACTCAAGTATTTTATACAGGAGTTTTAATCTGTTTATTTACTCCCTGCAGGAAAGAGCCGAGTTTGAACAGGAGCTGAAGCAGGAGAAAGAGAGTGCCAAAAATTTCCTTGAGCAACTCAAGAGGGAGCACGAAGAGGAGATCAGCGCCTTGATAGAAGATAACGGCAAATTGGAGGAGGATCTGCAGAATGCTGAAATGTTGGTGAGATATGGGATCATATCTCCTCCAGATGGATTAGTCATCATAAATTATGTCAACTGCCTTCATGTTGAAGTGTCCTTTAAAACAGGAAGTTGCAGCAGCGAATGCGAACGGCTATTATACAATTATATCTTAGTCTCTCTCTCTCTCTTTGCTGGCTTATCATTAAAGCTGCATCCAAAGTGCATTTTGTTAAAATAAAATCTTAAGTTTGGCGCAGAATTATTTCAAGTGCACAAACAAAAATTTTTTTTGCTTCCAGAACTAAGAACTATTGTTAGATGTTTGCAAAAAATTAATCATTGATTAAAATTACAATATGAAGTTCAATAAAAAAAAAATTCACAAGGCATTTCTCCCCCACCCCACAAATCAATAAATTAAACAATGTCCTTATGTGATTAATGTGCAAGTTTGATCAAAATGATTTGTGAGCCTGGTCAATTCAATACTTGTATCTTCACAACCTCAACACTGCAGCTGTCTCAACTGAAGGCTGAACTCAGTAAGTACACTGACGGAGATGACCTCGAGGGCAGCATGAATGAAGGGATGATGAAATCTGGCAGCAGCGAAGACAGGCGGAGGCTGGAGGAGGAGAGGAACCAGCTCAACAGACAGAGAGAGGACATAGAGAAGGAGATGGAGGAGATTGAGAGTGACAGAGCAGATTTTCAAAAGGAGAAAGATCTGTTTTACAGAGAAAAGGTCGAAGTAGAGAAAGAGAAGTAAGCTCCTCCTTTCTTTGAATGGGTTTTAAAATGATGTTGGTAAGACGTATAAGGAAATGATATTGGCAATACTTTCAGGGGAAATGATATTGGATGCATGTGTTTAGAAAAGAATCTGATTGATTAGATGGTATAGTTATTGGGTTTTTTTTGGTGAAGTTTTTGTTTTCTAAGTATTTCAAATGATTCATATTTTTTAATGGTCTGTCTTAGTTGCTAGCTCTTTGCATGTGTTGTTTGCTTCTTTGTTGTTGTTTTTTTTTTTTTTTAAGTAAAGATAGATGAATTGAAGGGTAGCAATGGTTTTAAAGATAGATGGATTGAAGGGTGGCAATGGTTTTAAAGATAAATGGATTGAATGGTAGCAATGGTTTTAAAGATAAAAGGATTGAAGGGTAGCAAGGGTTTTAAATATAGATGGATTTTTGTTTTCTAAGTATTTCAAATGATTCATATTTTTTAATGGTCTGTCTTAGTTGCTAGCTCTTTGCATGTGTTGTTTGCTTCTTTGTTGTTGTTTTTTTTTTTTTTAAGTAAAGATAGATGAATTGAAGGGTAGCAATGGTTTTAAAGATAGATGGATTGAAGGGTGGCAATGGTTTTAAAGATACATGGATTGAATGGTAGCAATGGTTTTAAAGATAAAAGGATTGAAGGGTAGCAATGGTTTTAAATATAGATGGATTGAAGGGTAGCAATGGTTTTAAAGATAGATGGATTCAAGGGTAGCAATGGTTTTAAATATAGATGAATTGATGGGTAGCAATGGCTTTAAAGATAGATGGATTGAAGGGTAGCAATTGTTTTTAAAGATAATGGATCGAAGGGTAGCAATGGTTTTAACGAATGTTATAAAATAGCCAATGTTCTGTTTACACTCAAACCATGTAAATAATATGTCCATACGTACCATTTGTAATTATCCTTATGGTACTCCTTGAAACTGTTAAAATGTGTAGATGCCACACCAAAAATATGTTCACAGGTCAAACTTACAGAGAGAAATGTCCAAGCTGAATGAATTAAAGGAAGACTTGGAGGACGAGAGAATAGAGATTGATCTCGAGAGAGAGGTTTTGGAAAAAGAGAGACAACAGCTAAAGAAGAGAATGGAGGAATTTGAAAGCAGGAAAGCTGTCTCAGAACAAGATGACTTACTGAAAGAGAAGACAACTCAGGAAGAAGATGAAAAAGAGGGTGAATTTTTTTTTATTTAGATAAGCAACTTTAACCAATTCCTGCCTGGAAAGCTGTCTACTGCCTTTTTTTATTTTTATGTTCTCATTCAGGATATAGGGCAAACTAATTCTTAAAGTTTACTACTGATCTTGTAAAGATACCACTCTTCAGTCTTGGTCACTGAAAAAAAAAGTAAATAACTAATTGAATTAAAATTTTTTTTAAAACTTCAATTTCAAACACTTGATGTTTATAACTTTATGTTTATAACTTCATGTTCATAACTTTATGTTTAGTTTGCAGAGATAAATCATGTTGTTGTTTTTTTTGCACATGATCTAAGAATCAGACCTTTTTTCTATCAATGAAATAATGTTTAAATCAGATCTTGAGAATGCACTGCTGTTGTAAACTCTTCGATGAGAAAACTTCATGCGCTGATCAAACTTAACCAACTGCCTTTTCTGACTTTTCACTAAGGGAGTTCATTTTTTTTTTAAAAGACAAATACTTAAGATGTCTTGTGTTTTAAATTGTTCTCATTGTAAAATGCTTTCGTGGTTAAAATATATATTTATTTATGTACTGAAAATGAATATATACAAAGTACTCAAAAAAACATTTCCATTTATTTGGATTAATAAAAGAATCTTATCTAACTACCCATTACAAATCCTTGCTTTATCATTCTTATCTAACCCTTCCATTTCAACAACTTGTCTCACCTGAATTATCTAACTCTTCTATTTCAAACACCTGTCTCATATGACTTATATAACCATCCCATTTCCCCCTGCTGTCTAGGTGTAAGAGCTAAAACCTTGAGGAGTGGCAGCCCAGCACGACCTGCCAATGACATGATGCTGAGAAAAGTAATTGAAGATAAGACCAAAATTGAAGGAGAACTTGTGCAGATGAAGGCGCAGATGAGGTCGATGCAGAAGGAGAAAGATGCTCACGATGATGTGGTGTGTATTTATTTCTGACCTTGTTTTAATTCAATATTATTTAAATGTGTTAAAAATTAAATCCATTTTTAAGGCCTTTATCTCTCAGGTGTTACCACATCTCAATACCTGCCTCAGGTTTGTTTTTCATTTCCATTTCAAAGCAAACTTAATTGTTTAATTTATTTTCTCTCATGGTAGGGCAAGATGTAGGTCATGGCCTGCCAGTTGAACTAATCTGCTCTGTCAAGCCCATCCTTGCCTGAAGTAAACTGTCTACTACACTTATAACTTTGTCTCTTTATCTCCTGCATCTAGTCCACATTTAACAGACCACCTGCTCTATTTAGTCTGGAGAAGAACTCATCTGCCAACCAATCCCCTGAAACAAGGGAAAGAACCCTAACATTCTCTCAGTCACGATTCTCACCTCTCCCCCAAAGGGTACTTGCCACTATTTCCTGTTACATTTTTCATTGCTTCATTCTCCAACAGGTACAGACCCTAAAGAAAGACCTGGAGAAGTCCCTTGTCTTACAGCAACAGCTGCAGCACAAAAACAGGAACCTGATTGCTGACTTAGATGCCTTGGAGGCACAGACAGAGGAGCTCGAGGTATGACAAGGCCTCTCAGAATATAGGATCAAAAATTGTATATAGTTGAAAATCAGCTTCTGATACATCAATGTAAAAATTGAAGAAAAAGAAGAGACACTGATGTCAGTTTCAATTTTCCAAGATTTTCATTTCAGCAGAGAATTACATTGATTGTCTTAATATAATTATTAAATTTTTAAAATAGCGGCCTCAAAACTTAACTAGTAGCACACCACAGAGTGACAAATCATGTAGATTTAAACAAATATTTAAGTTCATCAGATTAAGTTATTTTGTCCCACCCCATGTAGAGAAAATTGATTTGGAAGTCCATGAATACATTGGTAATTTAAATAAGAAATGTTTTGTTCATTCCGAGCAATCCATTCTGTCATCGTTTTATTAAAATTCAAATTATATTTTAAAGTGTTTTTTTTCCTTATTGAAAGGAAACATTCACAATGATTCCTTTGTTTTTTTTCACCTGCAGACCAAACTGGAAACTGTCACAAAGGAGAGAGACAATCTGGCAGCCAAATGTGAATCCTTATCTGTTGAACTAAAAACTTTACGTGCAGACGCCAATAAATCCTCAACTCTTCAGGATATTGTTGAAATATTGACCAATGACAAGAAACAGTTAACAGAGTCCCTAGAGACAATCAAGATCAAATATGAGCAGACCTCCAATGAAAAAGAGGAACTAGTCAATCAAACCAAAAAACTTTCAAAGGAGGAGCAAGACCTGACCAATCATGTGCAAGTTTTAAAGCAAGAACTAGAAAAGGTCACCAGAGAGAAGGAGCAGCTGACTAGTGAAAAACAGGAATTACTTTCTGTGACCAAGAAGCAGGAAGAGGTGGAGAATTTACTGCGGGCTGACCTTGAAGAGACAAGAAAAGTTATTATTGAATTTGAATTCAATTTATTTTAGTATTTTAAAAGTGTTGGAAAGTTTTTATTTAAAAAAACTACAAATTAATTTAAAATATCTTTTTTTTAATGGATTAAAAAATATACTAGGTAAATTAAAAAACTTTTTAAATAAATAGTGTATTGATTAACCCTTGTTTGCATATTGTATAGATTAACCCTTGTTCGCATCCTGTTTTTTATGATCTTGTGGGTTTAACTGATAGGGTTGTTTTTTTTTTTAAAGTTAATTTTATGTCTTAACAAATAAAAACTGCTGAATAATATCTTTATTTGCATTATAAGAAAGAATTGTAAATAACTATTAAGTTGTGGTTCCCTCAGATCAAGGAGAAACTGACCAACCAGACCGAAACACTGAGTAAAGAAAATAAAGACTTGCTTAACAGGCTTGACAGGGCTAAGGAAGAACTGGAGGCGGCCAGGCTGCAAGTCCAGGAGATTGATAAGCAAAAGGTAAAATTTCTTGGAAAGAATGGATCAACCAAGAATTAATTTCTGTTACTATGAATGAATCATTAGCTTTAGTAAAATTAAATTAATGGTTAAAAAAAGTAATATTTGATGCTTTTGAGTGACAGTTGAATTATTTAAGCCTAGACACATCTTGTTCCACTATTTACGCAGTCCTTCTTATATTATCATTTATACAGATTTACAGCATTCTGGAATGTTCAATGTAATAACTATGTAAGGATCTATGTAATAACTTGGTTACCACATTTTAACTACTCCACCAATTGAAGAGACACATTCTGCTTGCAAGCCACTGTTAGGGGGGGNTGGGAACCCGTGCGCTTCATGACTTTATGCACAGGAACACACGTATGTACACACATACGCACAAAGAGGGGGGGGGGGGGGGGGGTTAGAGAGATGTCTGATTTATAAAGTAGCAGTTAAGACCTTTCACCTGTTCCACCTGTTTCACCTGTAGATCATAATTGGTCACCTGAAAGATCAAAACCAGCAGGTTCAAGGCCAGCTCAAGTCTGCTCAGCTTGAGTTGGAGAGATCCAAAGAGAAGGAAACTATGCTAATCACAAATCAGGTTAGTTGCGCAATGGGGCTGTTGACGGGATTAGGAGAAGCCAGAGCTGAGAAAATAAAATAACACTAGTTTAGTTAAGAAATTTAAATGTTGAAAAGAATTGTTTCTTAAGTTCTTTATTTTTTATTATTTGTTAAAACTAAAATTTAAATTTTTTAAAAGTTTTTTTTAAATTAAGATTTTTGAAAAGAATTGCAGATAATAGCATCTGCAATAAGAATCAAGCTGTTATCAATATAATGGTTGATCTGAAAATACAAAATAGCTAAAGCTTCTGCTGGTGGTGTACTGGATACAAACTACCCAATTCAGCTTTTACATTGTGATGATAAATCCAAATATAAATTAACATAAACTTTATTTCAGAACCTATAATTTCTATTTCAGCATTTGCTTCAGAGGAGCCACGGTGACACGGAAAAAAGGTTGGTATTTTGTAAACAATGTTTGGTGAACATGTAATTTACTAAATATTTATAAATTATATTTGTTAGGATAATGCAAGACACAAAGATGTTGCTGTTGAAAAGTTGTTTCTTTTAATTAAAAATTTTGAAGTTTTCTTTTAATGTTTATGTATATAAATCTTAATTAATCCATACTTTTATTCTGTACTTTATTTGACTACAAGTTTGGAGCAGTAAGTTGGTCAACTCTTTCACTTATATTCTTGATTATATTTTTTTTTTTATTTGTCTACCTATTTTCTTTAGTTTAAAGAAATAATTTAGAATTTTTTGCTTCATTTCAATTTAGTAAGGTAAAAAATATATTAATTAATATAAAAATATAAATACATAAATCTTGAACATTTAGATTAGATTTTACAACCAATACTTTACTTAATATTTAATCCTTTCATTGAGGGTTTTGGTTGTTATACAGGATTAAAGGAACAGTTAAAACACATAAAACATAAATCTTGCCCCAAAATCTGCAACCTTTTCATTTTTCTAGAGTTAGCTGTAGATACTTTTGTAGTCTGAGACCATTCTTCCCATCTCCTTATATTTTTAACTTCTTATTGTTTTATGATTATCATGAGCAGTTTGGAAATATTTAGCCAGGTAAAGGTTTTTAGTGATAAAATGTTAGAATCTTTTCATTTCTCATCTATTGTTAGTTTCAGTTCTTTTGGAATAGTTTTTTTTTAATTTTTGTTCCACACTCTTAGATATAGATTTATTTGATAATCTCTTTAACTTTGTTTAAATTAGATAGAGGAAGAAGAAATGCTTATGAAAGTAAAGTTTAAAAAAAATAATTATTCATGAGACATATATTTTTTATTTAATTAATGCTGTAACTGAGAAAAAGTAGAACTTCACAAGCTTTTTCAGTATGTTTGTACATTTACTTTGATTAATTTCAATTGATGTTTTTGCAGGAAAAATTAATGAGAAAGAATTTTGTTTAAAAGCAAAAAAGATTTAAGACTATTGGAATAAATTACAGTGCACTTAGTTTTCTAAACACTTGTAGAAAATCACTTTGCTTAAATTTGTCTTATTTTAAAAAATCCATAATTTTGTTTTGTTTTCATGAGTTGACAAAATTGAATTTGTTTTTATTCTATTCATACATTTTAATTGTGGTGTTAAGTTTTATTCACACTATTTTTTAAAAAGTTTAGATGAAAATGCAAAATTCGTGATCTTAGAAATCCAAACTGCCATAGTATTCATGTGTAGTCTAATTGTAGCTATTGGCCCTACCACTTGTGATGAGATTTTTTTTTTAAATCCCATTGATGAACTTAATGCATGTGAGAATGGTGCCAATATTCCTGATGAGCTGTATACTGACTAAAATAAAAAAAAAATAAATCAGCTCACAAGAGAACTTAAATTGAGCTCACAAAATTCTTGATGTTAGAAATCAAGGTTGGCATATCTATATGGGTAGTCTAATTATAGCAATTGCAGACCTGTTTACTCTTACGATTTTGGCGTACAATGTACGATTTTTAGGTGTATAGGTTGTATATACTGTTTATTTTTTTACTATAAATATAACGTATTGAACGATTTTGTGATGATATTATACGCTTTTAAGAGTTTGAGGGTAAACAGGTCTGCAATTGGTCAATTGTGATGAGATATTTTTAAAAAATGTCCTATTATTATTATTAACTTGTTGATGCATGTGAGAATGCTGCCAAAATTCCCATTCAGCTTTGCACTCACTAAAACACAAATTAAAATAAATCAGCTCACAAGAGAACTTTAATTGTACTCACAAAATTCTGTTGGAAGAGTTGTTTTTTCCTGATGGTAAAATTCTTTGGACAAACAGAAGACTTCATTTGTACTTATTATACCATAAAAAACCCCAAAAACTTAGGTAGGGTACTTTAATAAAATAAACAAAAAGGCCTATACCATGAAAGCAAAATTTAAATAGCCTAAATTTTTGTTAGCTATTATGCTGAAGATTACATTTTTTAAAATAAGAATTAAAATATTTACTTAAATATTTTATCTACATGACCTGGTGAATACTGCCCCCTATTTTGACTGTTAGTTTGGGGGAGGAAGGGGTCAAATTGATTCTAAAAAGCTGTTGAATGCATAATATTTTCAACTGGATTTTTTAATTCATAAATAAAAAAGAACATAATTTGACTTTTTAAACTAATAGTATGATTTTTCCTTAGATTAACATTGGAATTATTGGAACATATTTAATTGCATAGACAACATATTTTTGCACCCTTTAAATTCAAAATAAAAAAAAAAATTTCTGCTCAGGCTGTACATTTGTGGTTATCTTAGATTATCTGGTAGGAAAGAAATAGTTAATATTTAAAACTGTCTATTTTCCTCTTTAGATTAACCCATGAGGTTGATGATCTCAAACTGAAGTTGGAGCTGAGTCTTCAAGAGCTGGCCAAGTCTAAGAGAAATATTGAAGAGCTCTCCAATGAGAGAACTGATCTGAAAGATTCCCTAAACAAGGCTAATAAAATATTGGATGAAAGTTCTGAGGCAAAGGTTTGGTTGCTCTTCAGTTAAATCAGATAGATTGATTTTGTTTTAAAAGCGTGTGTTTTTTTTTACGGATCTAATGGTAGAAACACATGCATTCTTTTAGTAGATTAATTTATAACCACTTGGTTTTAGACTGCAACATAAATGTGGTTGTGTTTTATGAGACCTTGTTGAACACATTGGATCGGACTGGACATTTTTTTAAACACTTTTTATCATAGGTTTTTAGAAAATCTTAACAGTTTCCTAGTAAATACTGTAGTGCTGCGAAAAGAAAATAGAAAAATGTCAGTTACTGAGCATTTTCCCATCTTGTGTGCCCAGAATATGCTTGCAGAAGAAAGGCGATTGAAAAATCAGATGAAGGTTGAGATAAACCGACTGGAACTGGACTTACAGGAGAAGACAACTCTTGCTGACAAGTTTGCAAATGAGAAATTTCAGAGATTGGAGTTGGAAACTCAGGTCACTTGTCTGAGAGATGTTGAAGAAAGATTCAAGGTAAAAACAAACATTTCAAATAATCTCATTAAAAAGTGTTGTCTTTTAAAAATACTTCAGTAAGAAAAGAAAAAATCCCGCAAGATTAATTTAAAGGAAATTATAATGTATTTATCAAGAGAGGAACAAAGGCTTAACTTAATGTGAATATTTTTTTAAAATTAGAAATAAAGATGTATAAAAGTCCTTACTTGTTTAAGATTTTTAAAAAAACAGTTGTTGTTTTTTTCCTGTGATATTATATAATTCAAAAGTAGGCTAACATTTTCTTTATCTGTCCAAAAATTGGAAGTCTTTCTTTTTTCTAATTTAGAAATTTAAAAAAAAAAGATTATTTCCATTTAAAAGAACTTTTAAAATTAACTTGCTAATAAAAGAAACAATTATTTTCTGTCAGACTATAAGTAAAGATCTTGAAAAAGAACAGAGCGAGAAGAGAGCTCTTGAAGTCCTTGCTGATGAACTGAAGAGAAAAATAGCAGCCATGGTCAGCCAAGAGGCGCTACAAGCAGTCAAGGAAGAATGCAACAAAGAAAGGCAACTCCATGCTCAGATGGAGAAGAGAGTTAAAGACCTTGAGCATAGTCTCAAAGATACAGAGATCAGCCGTGACTCAGCCAATGAGTTGTTGGAGAATGAACGCCAGCTGAGTCTCAGCCTGGAGAAAACTGTCAAAGAGCTACAGGTTTGAAAATATTTTTAAGCAGCTTATAACTTTTGAACTCTTTTATTTTAAAATACTTAAATCTTTCAAAATATGATTTTTCACAGAATGACACTTTAAAATATAAATAAATTCCCAAATTGAGGCATTTTGAAGTATACAATATTTTTTCTTCCTATTATTAATGAAACGTCTGCTGTGAAATATTCCATAAATTACCTTGCATATATGTCACTAAATGTTTTGGAAATAAGAGTTTGAAATGGTTCATGCTTTCTTTCCAGGCTGTCACTGTCCAACAGACCAGTGCAGAGGAGCTGACCAGGCTGAAAGATGAGTTAAACAAAGAGAGAGCCGCATTGAAAGACCTGGAGGAATCTGAAGCAGATGTGCAGCTCCTGTGTGTGGAGCTTGAGAAACAGAGGACGTTGAATGAACAGCTTGTCAGAAAGGTTGGTGTCGACATGGTTAGGTGTGTGTGGTATTTTGAATACGATGATGATGTGGTGACACAAGGCTTGTAGATTTTTGTCTAGGTATGTTATAATATGTTTGGGGGATGGGAAGCGGATGTGCAGTTTTGGTAACCAAATTTATGTCTGCTTTTTAAAAACATACGTGATTAATTAATGTGGAGGATATGTGGGGAGGGAAATATTGGTTTGAGGGATAAGCTAATAATAAAGGTATTTTTCTATGGCTACCTGCTTAGAGAAATATACGGTAAAAGTTACTGGCATTGCTGCATTGTCATTGAATTGGACATAAAACACACCTTCATAAGAAGGAAAAATTTTGAACTTGCCGCAGGTGGAAGAACTGGAATCTGCGGACAAAGAATCATCCAGCTCAACTATGAAGGCAGCTCTAGATGAACTGGACAGGGAGCGCAAGGCCCGGGCCAAGGATGATGCAAAAATCCTGGACATGGAGCAACTGTTGGATGACCAGCGGATAGACAACGATGCCATGGAGCAGAAGGTGGGTGGGGTACGGTGTAGTAAAACATTATTTTTTGCCTGAGACTTGACACCTTGAACCATCAGGATAACTGGCGTTTTTACTACCACCAGACCACAGAACTCTGTTTCATTTTTTATTGGCATTAAAACAGCAGTCGAGGCTTGCTTTCCAAAAATGAGGTGAAAGCTGCCGTAGGTCCAAAAATTAGGTTCACAGACTGTTAGTTTGTTAACCACCCCTGTTAATGCGGTCACTTTGTTGTTCGCAAGATTTTACAGATATCTGTTTATAAAACTCTTTAACGATGGGAAGTACTGCATTTAACCATTCGGGAGCCAACGCCCGTCATGACTATTAATCAGTAAACAGATTGGTTATATCATTTTTTGTCTCTAAACAGATCATCGCCTTGGAGCAAAGGGTGGTAGCTTTGGAAGATGAACTTTTTGCCACTCAAGATGAACTTCAAGCTCTTCAGGACGATCATGATAAGGTGATTTTGCTAGCTGTATCTATACTAAGATTTGTTCTTGTTTTACTAATGCACTAACCCTTTTATGTGATGTATTTGTATACTTACCTGGCATTTAAATACCAGTGTGTTTAGCTCCAAGGGGAAACAATTTTTTAAATATTCAAAAACTAACTTAATTTAAGAAGACTCAGAAAAAAAAGAATAATTTATATTATTTACATGAATTAACTGATATTTTAATTTTATTAATGTGCTTTAATTTTTTATTTCTCTCTATATTTTGAATTAACGATTTCAGCATTGGAATTACATTTTCTTGATTTCTTCATACTTTTTTTAAAGGGATTTATTTCAGCAGATGTAAATGTTCCGTTAATTTTCATTGACAGCCAAGCTTGGTGGGTGAGGTTTTTTTTTAATGAGTGTTTAGAACCCCACAAAGAATAGCTAATAGGTCCATTCCTACCGACTGCACCATCATTGCTGGGGGGCAGTGTCTCAAACCCTTTCGAACCAGCTATTCCTTAGTTGAGGGTCCATTCCTACCGACTGCACCATCATTGCTGGGGGTCAGTGTCTCAAACCCTTTCGAACCAACTGTTCCTTAATTGAGGGTCCATTCCTACCGACTGCACCATCATTGCTGGGGGGCAGTGTCTCAGACCCTTTCGAACCAGCTATTCCTTAGTTGAGGGTCCATTCCTACAGACTGCACCATCATTGCTGGGGGTCAGTGTCTCAGACCCTTTCGAACCAGCTGTTCCTTAATTGAGGGTCCATTCCTACCGACTGCACCATCATTGCTGGGGGTCAGTGTCTCAGACCCTTTCGAACCAGCTGTTCCTTAGTTGAGGGTCCATTTCTACCGACTCCATCATCATTGCTGGGGGGCAGTGTCTCAGACCCTTTTGAACGAGCTATTCCTTAGTTGAGGGGCCATTCCTACGGACTACATTATCATTGCTGGAGACAGACCCATTCGAACCTGCTGTTCCTTAGGTGAGGGGCTTTTGACATCACCACCATGCCACAGGGCTGACACAACAATGTTTGAATATGATCATTTTTTTTAAAAGAGGTTTTTGAAATTCCACTGCCATAGCAGATCTTTGAGATCTTTTGGTGTGTTTTCTTGCATCCAGGTTGTGAAAGAATTAGAAGTTTCTAGAGCTGAAGTGATGAGCCTTGACACAGTAGATGGTAACCAAAAACTAGCAGGGGGAGTCACCCCTGAGTTCTCCAGAGATAAGGTGCATAACTATCCACTGTTATTATATTTTTCTTAAATAAAAAATTATTTAGTATAATAGTCATTGTTTTTAAAAGAGTAAAGTTTTATTGATTGTTATAATCTTTATAAATAATAATAAATAAAGGATAAATATTTATACAGAGGAAATACAATTATGAGATTTTAGCTTTAAAAATTTTTTGTAAACATTTCCCTTTGAAAGATATGATAGGGTACATCCATCATTTAAATATACTCTGATGGAGTGGAGGATTGTGGAGGTTTATGAGATTTGCTTACTGGTTTGTATGGGAAGGGGTCTCGCCAGAATGTGTCTGTACATTTATTCATAAAATATACAATAATTATCCTGAAGTCCTGTTCATAACTAACCCATTTATAGCTCAAATATAGTCAATTATCTAGAAAAAAAATCTGTGAAATCCATGATTTCTAATTATTTTCAAAATCCATTAGAAAAAAAAATTTTTTTTAATGGAATGTAAATTTTCTTCTAGCACCTGGAGAACTCTCCATCAATTTCGACTGCTAAATTGAATGAAGCATATAATGATCTCAACACCGTAAAGACAAAACTGTTCCACACACAAGAAGAGTATGAATCAGCCAAAATTGAACTGGAAAGCTCAAGGTATAAAAATAAATGTTCAAAATCTCATTTAATGAGTGTGGTTCATAAAGAGTATTGTTTTTCTAAAACCTGGCCACTTTAGGTCGATAATCAATTTTGTGCTTTAATTAACTGTTATTTTCTTCTTCTTTTGCTTCCAGGCAAGATTTGAGTTTGTTGAAACAGTCACTTGACATGTCCAACAAGCACTTGGAGAAATCTGAAAATGAACTTAGAGCTTTAAGAAAGGAATTAGCAGAAACTCAAGGTATGAAAACAAAGAAGAGTTCCTTTCTTTACCTGCTTTTTAAAATAATAATTTGTCTCAATCTTGGCATATAAATATGAAATTAAGCTCATAAAGAGATTTAATTCATGTTTGATGATTTATTTCAGTTACATTTCTTTGAATGATAACTTTTTTTCTCATTCTTCCCAATTTGTTACCAAAAAATGTCAATTTGGCATAAAAATATATTTCAAATATTTTTTTGTTTTTTTGGTGTTAAAATTGAAAACTAAATGGTTGGTATGTGACATTTATAGATCAAATATATGAAGAACTGCGTACAAGTCAATACAAGGAAATAGTGGAATAAGATATGTTTTGGCTTGAAATGAAAAGATGAGACAATTATAAAGACGTTTCTGCTAGATGCCTTCTTCAACAGACAAAACAAAACATGAAAGAAATAGAGTATTTTTTTTTCACTTCTAAAAAGATCATTTTTTAAAATTTCTTATTCATCAATAGAATTTATTAAAATGTTTGGAAATTAGAAACAAAATGAATAACCCAGAATTTTATTTTCACTTTAAAACACCCACCCCCCCCCACTTGTTTGTCATCCCTTCCCCATTGTATTTTGTGTTCCCACACCTCCATCGCTACAAACAGGCTCGCTTGAGTTCACCCAGAATCAGCTGAAGAACAAACAAATTTTTTTTTTTACATTTTAAAAAGATCATTTTTTAAAATTTTTTATTCATCAATAGAATTTATTAAAATGTTTGGAAATGAGAAACAAAATGAATAACCCAGAATTTTATTTTCACTTTAAAACCCCCCCCCCCCCCCACTTGTTTGTCATCCCTTCCCCATTGTATTTTGTGTTCCCACACCTCCATCGCTACAAACAGGCTCGCTTGAGTTCACCCAGAATCAGCTGAAGAACAAACAAAGTAAACTGGAGTCACTGGCCCGAGACAGAGACCAGCTCCAAAGTGAGCTGGATGCCATCAGCGACGCCCAGCAGGAAAACCTGAGTGCAGTGCCCTTCTTTGAAAAGGAGAGACAAGAGCACCTGGACAAGATTGCTACACTTGAAAAGTTGACCAGGCAGCTGGAGCTGGACAACAGAGAAATGGCCAGAAAGGTCAGACTTGAATTTCCAGTTAATGGTCAGTGAATGAGAAAATATTATTATTTATAAGCCAGAAGAGTCACAGATGTAAGTGAAACATTTAGATTTTTGTATTAACTCTTTTAATCTTGATAAAAGATTGTAGTCGAATATTGATACATAGTTAACATTGCTTTTTTCTTATTAAAGGTTTCTTCCCATGGCATAAAGTTGCTTTTACTGATAAAAAGTTGCCACTCTTGGTGTAAAGGCAGCCTTTTAGATAATTCCCTTTCTACAAAACATCTATTTTTTTGTCTCAGAAAAAACACCAGAAGATAACTAAAAACAAATAACTCTGTTTGGAGAAGGAAAAACACCAGAAGATAACTAAAAACAAATAACTCTGTTTGGAGAAGAAAAAGAAACATTATAAAAAAAAACCCTCAACATCACTCAATAAAATTTGTTTCAATTGTTGTTGTTGTTGTTGTTGTTAAAACAGCCAGAAAAATGGCACTATTGCTATTTCTATCAAATGATTTAATTTTCTCAGTTGACTGACGCAATGAACAAATGTGAGATCCTGGAAGGTCAGCTGGACAGAGAGAAATTCAGAAGCTCAGGTGAGTTAAACCCTTCATTAACATGAAACGGAATTTTTTTTATGACTATGTTTGTGGCTGTGCTGGTACTTTTATGTTGTTGTTTGTTTTTTTTGTTTGTTTTTTTTTGGGGGGGGGAGATGTAATGCTAATACTTTTAAATTGTATATTGAGTACAAATAAATTTCTCATGTTTGTGTTTGCATTGTTAATAAAATATATAATTTTCTTGTGTGACAGGAATAAATAAAAAAAGTTCATTGACTGAACACAATGAATTTTAAAGAGAAAAATGGATTCTTTATAGCTACACTTATGAACTAATAATGAATGCATAAAATGTAATAGACTAGGTGTTACATGTGGCATATTTTTGTATTATAACTGTTTATTGTCTCTGGCATTGTTAGACAAACATCTGCAGAGCAGACGCTACACAGAACAGCTGGAACAGGACCTTGATGCAGCCAACAGCCAAATACGACAGCTGCGAGAGGAGCTGCAGCAGCACCAGACTAAAGTCTTCAAGGCAGAGTCGGACACTCTAGGTCTTTCTGTAAGTCAGGCATGCTAGGTCTTTTTGTAAGTCAGAAACTCTAGGTCTTTCGGTAGGTCTTACACTCAAGGTCTTTCTGTAAGACAGACACTCCTGGTCTTCTTTAAGTCTTACACTCTACGTCTTTCTGTAATTCAGACACTCTAGGTCTTTCTATAAGTCTTTCACGCTAGGTCTTTCCATATGCCTAGAAAATTAAATTAGATCTTTCTCTTAAGTATTCCACATACTAATTGTTCACAGGGAAATAAATGCCATTATTTCATTTTCAAGAAAATTTTGATTTTTTAAAATCAAAAACAAATTTATGTGTGTTTTTTTTCTAATTTTTGTAATTTATATTTATATTTAATTTTTGGAGAACTAAGTAAATCACCAAATGTTGGAATAATTTTTTCTCTATTCTCTTTCTCCTATTGGCATCCTTCCGTCTCGTGAGACGATGGTGCATCACCGTTTGGTTGGGTTGCATTTTCTCGAGTGGCTGTGCAGTCCTATCCTTGAGTGACAGTCTTTACCACAGTTTTTACACACGAGTTCCGTGCTTCTAAATGTTTTGGCCTTTCTCCTAGCTCTTCTGTCTGCAGCCTCTTCCATTCTTCGCTCCTCGGCTACCTTGACGCCCTCTTTGACAACTGTGCGCCACGTAGATCGGTCTTTTGCCTTACACTCCCAGTCACTTGTATGTATTTTGGCTGCTTTCATGTCCCTTTGACAGACATCTTTAAATCGCAGACATGGGCGACCTGTTTTCCTCTTTCCCGAAGCAAGTTCACCATATAGGAGGTCTTTCGCAATGCGGCTGGGACTCATTCTTTTAACATGACCTAGCCACCTCAGGCGTCTTTCACTAAGGATTGTGAACATGCTTTGGGTATTCGCACGCATTAGGACCTCACTATTAGTCACTTTTTCTTGCCATTTAATACCAAGGATGCGACGCAGGCATCTCATATGGAAGCTATTAAGCTTGCGCTCTTGGGATGTATAGGTGGTCCA